TTACCTGTAAGACGCTGCCCGTCATTCCTGGCAGTTTCAGACCACCAAACATAATCTCCAGATCAATATCTGTTTAGGATGCACCCCAGATTCTTATATATATATTTATATATAGAAATCTGTTTAACGTCATATTCTGTCATGATTGTGCCCTTTGTTTAAGTTTCTCTTTAAGTTCCCAGTTACACTTTGATTTATGTTATGCAGTGTTTTCTTGATAATTGTTTTCTTTTCCACTTTGTGTCTTATTTAAGCAGTGTTTTGTTTTTTAAGCTTACTCCCTGTTGCCCCATAGTGCCAATCTCCTTTACCTTAGATCAGGGGTGTCAAACTGGTTAAAGAAATGGCCTTGTGGCTGCTGGTTTTTCTTCTGATTAATTCCTCCCTAGTTTTTCCTAGTCTTTTTTGTTCTTGAGTTATCACGTCTATCAGTTCTGGTCTGAATATTTAGACTTCTTTTCATTCAACTTTTCAAGCAATCTATCCTGCCTCTTCGACTCTCCATTTGGTCCACAACTACATCCTCAAAGGCCATGGTTTTTGAGTCGCAAAATAAAAGTGAGCTATATTTTACGTTTCACTGGAGATTATAATAGAGAGATGTGCCTGTTCACCAGCAGCCGCATGTCGTTTTTGAAGTCTGACCTTCTTAATAATTGTCTCCACCTGGTGAAGGCTATGCTAATGTGGACTCTTGTTTTAACCCAATTATTACCTATTTGTCTTTTGTTGTATACTTTCTCTTCCCTCTCCCTTTCAGCTACCGTAATTGAAGATGGCAACAGTGCAACACAATGCTGCACTTTCAACTTATTTATTTATAAACAATTGATTCAAAGCTATAGATACCCTTTCATTTTTATCGCGATTATTATAGAAATGTAACTTAATGATTTATTTATGAAAGCAATACCTAATTATACTAACAAAAGGAGACTTTAGTTACACATTGCTCTTTCAAGTGTCATGTTTTTTTTTTTTAAACCTTTTGTGGTAAAGTTGGTCCAAACTCAAATGAACTGGTGAACTAACAGTTAAATATTGATCCAAGGCATTCAGAACAGATGCTTGAGACATGCTGGCTGGCTCATTTGAAAGTGTTGAAGCCATGGTTCAACTATCCAGACGGCCTTGCTACTCTACCTCTCAGGGAATACCTGGCCATGCTTGGTTGGAAGGTTTGCTGTCGAGTCTATGAGTCAATGCAATCATCTGGTTTTCCTTTGATAGAAAACTTCCATCTAATCAGACTGTATGATCTGGTTCAATTGTCTCTGCAAAGTTTCTTGCGATTACATGTTGTGAATTAGAGATATATTGTCATAAGCTCCAAACATGGACCCAGATTTCAGGCAAGACAGATAGTGGAATAAAAAAAAGGCATTTATTCAAAAAAGGAATGAACGAATCTGCAGTGGCGGTCGCTCCAGCGGCTAGGGCTTTTAGTTGGTTTGCTGACAAGATGGAGCAGTCACTCGTAAAGAGATTTCCAGACACAGAAGCCGAGAAGTCTAAAGAGCTGACAGCAGATCAGATCCGAGCTTACGATGGAAGGCAGGATAATCCACAGGGTGCAGTCAAGAGGCAGATCCAGGTTCAGTCCACAGAAAAATCTAACAGGAGTCCAAGGACTGGCCAGGCAAACAGATCAGACAGGGGCAGTCAAGCTCAAATGTCCAAATACAGAAACGGATAAGGATCAGGCAATCAGAACACAATGGAAACGCTAGAGAACTCTCAACACAGAAGGCTCAAGAATAATTTGGCAGTGATTGCTAGGACCAAGGAGAAATAGAAGCAGGAACAGGTGGATCAGATGAGCAGTGATGAGAAACAGGGCAGAGCTAGACGGGTGAATGAAATGAGCAATCAAGCCAGCCATCAGCACCTCTTATCCATTTAGTACTTTTTCTGCAATGAATATGCAATATGGGGCGTTTACACGCAAAAGTGCGTCTTGTGGGAGGAGAACATGTAAATATATTAATTTAGCACTCGCAAAGTGATTTATCAAACCTGAAAGCAATTTTGCTAACGGTATCTGACTCTATATTTAACATGTTTCAAAAGAAGGTGCAAATGGTCTGTATGCATAATTGCGCACACATGTCAGCGGTTATTGTCGCAAGAAGGAGACATGGAAATGAAGCAAGGAAAAGCAGAGAACGCATTTTTTCACTCCGTGTGAATATTTTTGGAATGAACAAGGAAACGATCATCAAAACATATCGTTTATCCAGCATTGCCATTTTGGAGCTGTTGGGGGAACTCCAAATGGATTTGGAGCCAGCCACAAGGAGGACCCACGCAATACCAGATATCACAAAACTCCTTGCAACATTGCACTTTTTTGCATCTGGGATCTCCCAATCTCGTTTTTCAGAAGTGCTGTCCGACGTTCTAAATGCCATGTCGCCCTGACGCCCTACCGGAGAACCCCGACCTCTGCGCCTGTGGAGCAACATGCCAATGCGGGGATGCGTACGCGCAGTCATCTCATCCACAGTCCCATTGTGAGCCATTTGGTATGTACATTTTTCTACAGGCCAATACAAAACACCTGTTTTTTTTTTTTTTTTTCCTGCAGTGAAGTAGAAATTCAGCCACATACCACCTTAGGGAATAAAGGTTGCCAAAGTTTATATATATATATATATATATTTTTTTTTTTTTTTTTGGAGGGGGTGGGGGTGTCACTGTAAGATTAAAATTTCTTAATGCACTAGTTTGCACAAACTACAAACTACTTTGCCGCAAACCACAAAACGCGCAAAACCATCATTTAAATAGGGTGTCTCCAACAGTTTTGCACCTGCCACCAGTTACTCTTGTTAAATCACCCGCAAACCATGGTTTAGCCCCTCGCGCAAAATTCCAGTTTGCGAGCGCAAATTACTGCACGCAAAATTGGATCTTGATAAATCCGGCCCAATGTGTTTAAACCACAAATTCCTTTAACCAATTCTTAACTCTCTAGAAGAGCAGAGATTAGCCTGAAGATGGTATTAAATCTGCAAGCATAAGGTGTTCAAAATGTGCATGGAGAGTAGTTTACATGTTTTAAATAAAACTTTACTTAATGTAATTTGTATGTGCTCTTTTTGGAAAATTCTGACTTCACATGTAAACAACAAGTATTATAAAACGTAATGATAATGTTGGTACTATCCTAATGATTTGCTTGGATATGACTTTTTGTGATCAGTAATTTAAACGTGAAAGAAAAGCCAACATAACTTTCTGCTTTTAAAAAAATAAGAAAAGGAGACAGTCTTGGAAATATAAGTACACCAAATGGAACTTCTTCAGACTTGTATCACATTAAGTGAAACCATGTGACTCTAAATAACCAGCAGTTCTTCACTCACTTTATCAACCTCATATACAGTGAAGTGAAATAAAAAAGAAATGAGAATCCTCTGACTGCAGCACGCCTTAGAGATATGTCTCTGGTGGCACAAAAGGTGCATTTTGATGTCTTGCTTCCCCCAACGACTCAAAAACTTGCGGTTCACTAGAGAGCAAAGTGCCTCCTTGGAAATAGTTTAATTTTTAACGGCCAGGAAAAGGACTAAACCCATCAGGCTAAATCCAGAGGGAGGGGAATTAGGGCACAGAAAGACACAGAAGTGATCTAAAACTAAGTGAAAGCAAATGTTAAATATTATTTTGGCTCTTGAACTCTTGAATTAATGTAATTTCAAAATGCAGAGAGACAGAGGAAGATATTTATCTAAATAGAACATGATTTTGAACAGCAGTAATTTAATATTTCTACTGTGGAAGCACATTTGTTAGTATTGCTTCCATTATTTATGTCTATATTAAAATGTCCTAATTTGAATAAACTATTAATTGGCCTGGAAATTTGAATATGAGCAAACTTTCAGATCCAAAATATCTTATATTAAACTATACCAACAAATATCAAAATAAAGAAATATATGTATATATGCTAAGATATGGTCTATATGTAGGGTCAAGATGCATTACATAAATATGTAGATTTTATTAAAATTACAGTAAACACAATAAAATTACAAAATGTTCGAATAAATTTCCCAAACATCAGCATTTGAATTGAGGAAATAACTAAAACCTGAAAATATAAATGTATTTAAGAATCAATATAAAAATATCACTATATTTGTAGGTAAAAATAAATTGAAATAAATAAATTTAATTTTAGGGGGTTGCCAGCCTGTGGCAGGTCATGGGCTAAATCCCTACAATCCAGAAGGAGACTGAAGATGTGGAGTTTTATCATCATTTTTTTTCTGACCCTTCCTTCAGGCCTGTTAATGTAAAGTTCAGTGAAAATATGAAGGGTGGTTCAATAAGATGGTCAAGAAAAAGGACAACAAAGAGTCTTGAAAGCTCTTATTACTTAATCATAAATAAAAACCTTTACATTCTGGGAAAGAAAACTAAGAAGAAAGGCAAGGATGATGACAGTTCAATCTAACAGATGTTTCAAGTAAACCAACTCCCATGTCATAGGATGAAGAGAGCACATCCAGCCAGTCACAGTTACACAAACAGGACTACACTGAAAAACAGGTGGATCTCCAACATCTATAAACAAAGGTGTTGATGGCAGCAGCATAGCTGACATTGTTCTCCAGGATGGAGTCACAGCCAAACAGGAACAGAGCGGATGAGGCTTGTACGAGAAAAAGCAGAGAACAGAACGTTAGAGATTGAACTAACAGATTCTGCAGAGTGAGAGAATAGAGATAGGATAAAACAGAATGAGTCAAGAATAATTTCACTGAAAATTGAACAGCAGTGGAAGAGGCTTTGAACTCAGACATAATGGCTAGAAAGGACACAGAAATTTGAAGCACAGACAAAAACATATATTGTTCTGTCAAGCTGCCGGGTAGCCCCTCCTCCCCTCCCATCAGCAGGGAGGCACCAGGTGGAACTAATCTCCCAGCAATTTGGGGACCTCTAAAGAAAAAGGACCAAGAACTGCTGCATGGCAGAAATGTAAGCAGCTCATGTTTGGAGACAGACAAAATTCAGCTCCATTGTGACTGTGCAAACAAGTCCTTCTACAAAAACTCTGAAAGACAACCGGTAAGAGTCTTAAAGCCCTTGATTCTCTGGCTGGACTTTAAAATCAAAGAACTTTATTAAGGTTAATACAGACTGTGGTTGGACTGTTGTTGGTTATTATTTGTGGAAATGTTTATGTTGGTATGTAAACAAATTGATTTAAAGAAAATATGGTTTAAAAGTTGCATATGTTTGTAGAAGTAAATTTTGTTTTCTTAATTTGTATAGGATAACATTAAAAACTTTTGAAAATGTAGAAGTTAAAAACTATAGTTTGCTAAAGTATTTAAATTAGCTAAAAAATATACTGTTTAATTTATTGGCTAAAATTTAAGATTTAATTCATTTGGCTAAAATTGATCAACTTAATTTGGCTAAGAAATAAATAAAAAATAAGTTACTTTAAATTGTTGATGTATTTAAAAAAATATGTTTGTTTATTTTAGAACATGGTGGGAAATATTTTATTTAAAAAGGGCTAAAATGCTTAAATTAATGATGGATACAATTTTGTATTATCTTAAATGACTAATTGTTTTGTGTTACCTTCTCTTTTTGAGGTTTTTCACCTGCCCACTGCCTACTGCCAATTTTCAATAAATAAATAATGAAATGACTATCAAATGGCTGTTCATTGAGTGAAATCCAGTTGGAATGTAGAGGACTATCCTTTTCAAGTGGGGAATTGCACAAGAAACCACATTAATACTTGACAGTGAAAAACCGTCTTATAAAGACTGGAGGACCAAGTAAAGTGACCAGCATATTCAGAGACTGTTTCCTGCCCTGCTGCTGGACAAAAATGGCTGATTCAGTAATGCTGGAGCAATTTAAGGCCACAAGAACATCAGCAAAGCGTCAATTTCCCGTCTGGCCAATAATGTGCTACGAATGCACACAGTGATGTCTGAGGAGGAGCTCAGAGACAGTTTTGTAAAGCTCACAGCAGAAGCTGGCAGAGTTCTTGAGGCCAATGATGATGTTGAGGGACAATATACTGCAGAAAATGCAGATGAAGAGGCCTTAAGTGAGCACCAAAGGTCTGACTTGGACAAAACAGCCACGGAGTGTGAGAGAAAACTGCAAGAGTTAAAAGACCTCCTACAAAAGACATTATGGGCAAACTATGGGGAATATGAACTAACACAGGCAATTACAAATGCTGAGGATCAAGCAGATCATGTGGGAACTGTGGACCCAAGTAAAAACACAGAAGCTTATGACTTTATGATAGGACAACTGGACAAACTTGTGAAGTCAGCGAAGGCGATGCATAGACATTGGAAGTGCTGGGCCCCCCTTGCAGAGCAAGAACAGTTCCAGAGTCGTATTAAAGGCCTTGAAACCATATTACCAAGACTGACTTTAAGAAAAGCAGACTTTATAGAAGCACAGGCCAGAGAAGAGCCCAGCAGATTAAGCACTGCTTCATTCAGTTATTCAGCGGCACCTGCCATTAAACTAAAGCCGGCTGCCCTCCCAAAGTTTACTGGTATCCGACGAGAGTTTCACCGGTGGAAAAAGGATTGGGAAGCGCTCCAGATGCAGGGAGAACCCACTGGATCCAAAGAAATAAAAAAATTCCAGCTACTTCACAGTTTAGATGAAAGGACCATACGGGACCTTCGTCTTACATCTCACACAACAGCTGAAGAAATTTTCCGGGTCCTAGAGAACCGCTTTGGAAATAAAACCACAATTGCCCTTGAAATAGTGGAGGAGCTCCAGAAACTCCCAGCTGTTAAAGGCCAGCAGCCCAGGAAGATTGTTGAGCTCATACAATCAGTAGAGAAAGCTCTAATTGACCTAAGTGAGCTTGGTAAGACCGGCGCCATAAAAAACCCTCTTGTAACAAGAACAATAGAGGGTAAACTTCCAGATGGCCTAAAAAAGGAGTGGCTTCTCCATGTATCCGGCAAAGATGATGAAGCCGAAGAAGACAAACGTTTTGACTACCTCTTGGCATTCCTACAAAGTCAAGAAGCCATCTATGAAAAGCTGGACCAGTTGAAGGAGGAGGAGTCAAAACCAAAATCTGAACCACGGCTAGCCCGGACTAGAACCTCTACTCAACCAAGCAATCAGGCTCAAGGATGTGTGGTCTGTGGTGATGTGAAGCACAAGAGAAGATTATACTTCTGCCAAAAGTTTCGCACGCTCAAACTATCAGAGAGGAGAGATGCTGTCAAAAAACTGGGTGCATGCAAAAAATGTCTGGAGATTCACCATGACAGTGAATACTGTAAACCAGAGTTCCTGTGCAAAAGGCCAGACTGCAGGGAACAACGCACTGCTGAACACCATTATTACCTCTGTGCGAGAGCTGAAGTGTCCAGGGGAAATGTTGCCCAAAGACCCAAAGACAGCACAGTGGGAGGACGTTACACCCAAGCCCAAGAAGATTTCATTAAGAGCCTGTCACCTGAACTTGCAGAAAAGTGCCGTCATGTCTTTTGCAACAGTGTGGCCAAAACCTCTCTCATGTCTAATCAGCCTGGTCTTCTGTTAGAAAATGGATTAATGGAATGGCCTGTCATCATGATGATATTAAGAGTCACAGCCAATGCAGGACAAAAAGTTGGGACACTAATCGATCTAGCATCGGATACAAACTACATAACTCATGATGCAGCTGATCGATTGAATCTTAGAAGTGAAGCTATAACCCTTGTCGTCCATGGTGTGGGAGGAATGAAAGTACAAGTTACAACAAAACGATACCTCCTAAAGATCCGGGTCCGTACAGAAAAGGGCAACTTCAAATCCCACCAACTCCTCTGTTATGGTTTGGACAGCATTGCGGACATCCACAAACATGTGACAGCCAAAAGACTCCAAAAGTTTTTTCCAGACGTCCCTCTCAAAGAACTGGAGAGGCCGAAGGAAATACAGCTTTTAATAAGCCACAAGGAAGGGCGGCTTGTCCCACAGAAGATACGTACTGTTGGAGATCTTGTATTATGGGATGGACCATTGGGAAAAACAGTTGCCGGGACACACCCTGGTCTGTTTGAAAGGGCCACCATCACAGCACACCAGTCCAGAACGCACTTTGCCAGGTCCATGAGAACAGCTGCGGTGATGTATAAAGAACATGTCTGTGTCTTACCTGCTGTCAAGCATTCGTGCTCCGTGGCCGCCGCTCGCGAGTTTCTTGAGTGGTGGAGGTGGGATAGCATCGGCGCTGCCTGCACCCCAAGATGTGGAGGCTGCCGCTGCGGCAATTGCCAGCCCGGAGGCAAAGAAATGACCTTGGCTGAAGAAAGAGAGTTAGAGGTGGTGAAGAGTGTCCTGACATATGCTGGTGCAGACAAACACAGTAATAGCACTCACTGGCATGCAAGATACCCATGGCTCATAGATCCATCGACATTGCCAAACAATATAAAAGCAGTGGAGGCAACCTTTCTCAGAACTGAGAGACAACTAGCAAAAAACCCACAATGGAAAAAGGCCTATAGTGCTCAAGTGCACGAGATGGTTGACCGCCGGGCTGCAAAAAAGTTGACTGAGGAGGATCTACTTACCTGGAAGGGACCTGTTTGGTACATAAGTCATCTCATTGCCCCTAACCCCCACTCAGTTACAACTCCAGTGAGACTCGTCTGGAACAGCAGTCAAAAATACCAAGGCCAGAGTCTAAACGATCTCCTGATGAAAGGTCCAGACGTCCTCAATCCAATCCGGGCTGTCCTCCTCAAATTTCGCCAAGGCTCCTTTGCTGCCTTAGGAGACATCAGGAAAACGTACAATTCTGTCTGGCTTGAGGAAAAAGAAGTCCATCTGCACCGATTCTTGTGGCGTGATTCGGAGGATGAGGAGCTTGAACAGTACGCAATTACAAGAGTGAATATTGGTGACAAGCCAGCAGGGTGCATAGCACAACTCGCCATGAGAGAGACAGCAAACCTGCCTCAGTTCAGTCACCTAAAGGACGAGCGCCAGGTATTACATGAACACAGTTATGTCGACGACATCTTGACATCCCACAACTGCCGTGAAAGACTTGAGGTCATCACCAATAACGTGGAGCTGATCCTAGCGGCAGGAGGGTTCGCTTTAAAGCCATGGGTCCTTTCTGGGCAAAGTAAAGGACAGAAAGAAGAGGCCTCACCAAATATTGTTGTCCTGCCAAATCAACTAAAGGAAGAAGATAACAAGGCACTTGGTCTCGGCTACATTGTGGATGAGGACAAGTTGCATGTCATGGTGAGAGTCAACTTCTCCAGACGCAAAAAGAAAATGAGGCTTGGCCAAGATCTGTTGCTGGAAGAAGTTCGAGCTAGGACACCAAATCCACTGACAAGACGTGATTTGCTAAGTCAAGTTGCTGGCTTGTACGACCCAATAGGCCTGACCACACCAGCAAAACAAAAAGGGGCCATCTTGGTCCGAAGAGCATTCCAAGAGGCAAAACCAAAGTGCAATATTGTCAAAGATACATGGGACCTTGCCTTGTCTGATGAGCTCCGCAGAGATGCAGTTTATCTTTTTGAGGAGTTTGTCCAGTTAAGTAAAGTCAAGTTTCCAAGAGCCCTCACTCCACCAGATGCAGCATCAGATCCAATCGCAGTCACCTTTTCAGATGGTAGTGACAGCTCTTACGGTGCTGTCCTCTACCTATGATGGAACTGTCAAGAACAAACAATAGTTCGACTAGTGGAGTCAAAAGCAAAGCTAACGCCCCTAGACCACAAGGGGGACGCAGTCAAGGCGGAGCTTTGTGGTGCTGTCTTTGCAAGCCGCCTGAAGAAGTACTTTGAACAACACAGCCAGATCAAAATCAAGCAATGGTTCCATTTATTGGACAGTCAGACAGTTCTTGGAGCTATCCAGCGTGAGAGCTACGGGTTTCAGACTTTCTTCGCTAATAGGATCGGAGAGATTCAAAGTAACACAAGGCTGGAGGACTGGTGGTGGATCCCTGGATCATACAACATAGCTGACATCATCACCCGAGGAGCTGGGCCAACAGACCTTGATGTCAATTCAGAGTGGCAGCAAGGGCCAAAGTTTCTCTGCCTCCCCGAGAAAGAGTGGCCAGTTATGTCAGCAAGGGATGTGTCTGAAGCTGCTCGAGAAAGCATTAGCAAAATGCAAAAGAAGTCGTTCGTTGCAGCACTCACCAGAGCCCAAGTAAAAAGAAATAGACAAAGTCCTGAGCGAAGACCTCCCGCTGGTACAGCTGTCCAAAACTTACTGGATGGAAGACGCTTCAGTAGCCTAAAAAGCCTAGTCAAGACCGTTGCCATTGTCTGGAGAGCTGCTAAAAAATTTTTACCAGCAAGCAAGTCCGTGACAACCCTAAAGTGGGAGGCGGTTCCAACTGAAGGAGTCATCACTGCCATAGAACGTCAGGATGCACTCAGAGACATCTTCCTTGCTGCTCAAGCGGGAATGACCTTCCCAGCTACCACAACAGACCGTTTGGTTGTGTACAGAGAGCCAGAGGCAGGATTACTAGTCTGTGGTGGGAGAATTCATGGCTTCAAGGAAGATGGCATGGCAGTTCCCCTCCTACCCTCCAATGCATGGGTCTCCACTTTGTTGGCACAAGAGGCACACAATGAGGGTCATGAAGGTGTGGCTGCTACCCTGCTAAAAATGAGAAAGAAAGCT